ACACGACTCTTGACTTATCATCGCCATCCGCGCCCAGCATCAGGCCCAACCGATTCACGTCCTGCACCTGACCCCGCTCCTATTGCGGACTTGTCTCTTCCTAGTACACTGATTGTATTTTCGGAAAGGTATATGAACCACACTTAATCCTAATTCCCATTATGTCAGTTTAAATTATCATCGTCTGTCATCACCCTATTATGCTTTTATATCTTCTTTGTCCTCTGTTTCTATCCCTAAGTCTACAAATGAAGCATTGTCTCATCCAGGATGGCGACAGGCTATGATTGACGAGATGTCTGCTTTACATATGAGTGGTACTTGGGATCTCAATCCTCTTCCTTCAGGTAAATCTACTGTTAGTTGTCGTTGGGTGTATGCAGTCAAGGTTGGTCCGGATAGCAAGGTTGATCGTCTTAAGGCTCGTCTTGTTGCCAAGGAATATACTCAAATATTTGGGCTCAATTATAGTGATACCTTCTCTCCCGTGGCTAAGATAGCATCAGTCCGTCTTTTTCTATCCATGGCTGATGTTTGCCATTGGCGTCTCTATCAGCTGGACATTAAGAATGCTTTTTTACACGGTGACCTTGAGGATGAAGTTTATATGGAGCAACCACCTAGGTTTGTTGCTCAAGGGGAGTCTCGTGGCCTTGTATGTCGCTTGTGCCGATCACTTTATGGTCTAAAGGAGTCTCCTCGAGCCTGGTTTGATAAGTTCAGTACAATTATCCAGGAGTTTGGCATGACTCGGAGTGAAGCTGATCACTCTGTATTTTATCGGCATTCTGCTTCGAGTCTCTGCATTTATCTGGTAGTATATGTTGACGACATTATTATTACCGGCAATGACCAGGATGGTATTACTAGTTGAAGCAACATCTCTTTCAACATTTTCAGACTAAGGATCTAGGCAAACTAAAGTATTTTCTGGGTATTGAGGTCGCTCAGTCTAGCTCAGGTATTGTGATCTCACAACAGAAGTATGCCTTAGGTATTCTTGAGGAGACATGAATGACAGGTTGTAGACCTGTTGACACTCCGATGCATCCGAATTCTAAACTTCTGCCAGGACAGGGGATCTTCTTAGCGATACTACAAGATATAGGCGAGTGGTTGGTAAATTAAATTACCTTACAGTTACAAGACCTAACATTTTCTTTCCTGGGAGTGTTGTGAGTCAGTTTATGAATTGTGAGTAAGTTTATGAATTCTTCATCTGATAGTCATTGGGATGCAGTTATCCACATTCTTCGATATATAAAATCAGCTCCAGGCAAAGGTTTATTATTTGATGATCGAGGCCATGAGCTGATCGTTGGATACTCAGATGCTGATTGGGCAGGATCACCTTCTGATAGATATTTTACGTCTGGATATTGTGTCTAAGTAGGAGGAAATTTGGTGTCTTGGAAGAGCAAGAAACAGAATGTGGTTGCTCGGTCTAGTGCAGAAGCAGAATATCGAGCAATGGCTATGGCGATATGTGAGCTAATTTGGATCAAACAGTTGCTCAAGGAGTTGACATTTGGTGAGATTAGTCAGATGGGACTTGTGTGTGATAATCAAGCTACTCTTCATATTGCATCAAATTCAGTGTTCCATGAGAGAACTAAACACATTGAGATTGACTGTCACTTTGTCAGAGAAAAGATACTCTCGGGAGATATATATTGCTACAAAATTTGTGAAGTCGAATGATCAGCTTGCAGATATTTCACCAAGTCCCTCACTGGTCCTCGTATTAACTACATATGTAACAAGCTCACTACATATGATTTATATGCACCAGCTTGAAGGGAGTGTTAGAATAGTTATGTAAATAGTAGTAAATAATCCTAATCATATGTATTAGGAGTAGGACATGTATTATATATATATATATATGGCTCATTGTATTATTGTTAACATATGTGAATAATATCATATTTTCTCTTGTGCATACAACGATCAGACAAAAGTACTTCCTTTTATATTAGTCGAAACATCTGTTGTTTTCGACTTCAAAACTCAGCCGACAATGACCAAATGTGGGTAAAGTTCAAAACTTAAACTTAAACTACGTGAGACTATGTGATATGTCAAACATGTCTATAGACCAAATGTGGGAAATCTCAGAACATATAAAATATTACCTCTGCTCTTTCGCGAGGATCAGTCAGCTTTGGTATGTACTTTAGAGCTTCACCTTTCTCATCTGCATCAACACATGCCTCGACAAATGGGCGGTAACCAAGAAGAGAAAAAAGAGGAGAAAAGGGGATGACTATAAGATTTCCATTACCCTTTATTAGCATGTAATATATGGTCACAAAGGACTACTTGGAATGCTATCTACAAAAATGTCCACGGTGCCCCTTCCACTGGCAGTCACAAGAAGCAGAAATACATTTCACATGGCTACAAGAGAAGAGAGCTAGTTCAACATGGCTACAACAAACTTAGTTTAACCAGAAACATGATAAAGCATACCAAGCAATTCAAGAGGAAGTGTAGCTAACTGTCCCTCTAGAGTGAAGGCGATTACAGAAATTAACTTCTTCAGCGTCAAGAACTAAGCTAGCCAAGCCTGTAGCTATTACATTAGGTATGGTCATGGAGGGTACTCTAGAGCTGAGGATCTTCCGGAAACAACCTCTCTACCGTCGTAAGGTAGGGGCAAGGTCTGCGTACACTTTACCCTCCCCAGACCCATTTGTGGGATTTCACTAGGTTTGAGTTTGTTGTTGTTATGGTCATGGAGGCCACTGCCATAAAGGAGGGGTTAGTACTTAGAAAGAAAAAAAAATTGAAGATATCAAAAAGAGCAGCAGTACATACAGCAGTCATGTAAGGACAAGCCATCTCTGCAGATGCCTTATGGTATATAGTGAACCTCTATTAATGTGTAGGGCACAATTGCAGAAACTCCCAGATCAGGTGTCACAACGTACATATGACATTTTCCAATTCAAGTGTTAACTTTCAACCTAATTTCCTGCTCCTTGAAATGTAAAACCATTGTAAACCTATTTGAATTAAACTATCAATTTCCTAAATACAATTGATCACAACAGTAAAGAAAAGATAAGTTAAAATTAATAATATCCGGATTATAATACAAATACCACAGTGAAAATACAACAACAACAACCCAGCAAAATTACATTAATGAGGTCTGGGAGGGTAGTGTGTATGTAGACCTTGGGTAGAGAGGCTGTTTCCGAAAGACCCTCGGCTCAAGAAAGCAAAAAGACAAAAATGAGACAATATTAGTATCAACAAAGAAATCATATGAAAACAGGAACAACATAAACTTTAGAAGAAAGATGCAAAGCAAAAGCGATAGCTAGTAAATAATTCCTGCGCTGAAAAGTGAAATAGCAAGACACAACAACAAATACCACAGTGAAAATGCATATAGAAATATTTCATTGAAAGAATAGGGAAAGTCAGAGATCCCTTCTTGTTAAGCTACTATCCTTGGCTGCTAAAACATGGGAAGAAAAGGATAGACTTTAGCCGGTGGTTCTCACTTAATGAGACTTGGAAGGATGTATATCATCTTCTGATCTATTGCGAAGTCACCTCTAAACTCAGGTATTTATGTAGAATTCCAGAGCCACCATTCTGGCACCTTGACATAAACTAGTTGTAAGTTCTACAAATTTATGCAGAAAAACTCATCCCTCAAATAGAAATTTATGGGAAGAAAGCATTAAAGATAAACCTCGGGAAGTCATGATACACCCCATCTAAGAAAAGTAGGGATCAAATTGAGTACATAAGAGATGAGGCACATATATAATGGATAATATAAAAGATAAGAATGTTATTTGACTCGTTGTAGTAACCATTCTGAAACTATCATCTAATTTTAGCATTGCATGTTTTGATTGCAGTTAGCGCACTTGACAACTATAATAGAAAAGGGCTTTTCTCGTTGATTTAGAAATTTTATCAGGAGCCTACATATAAATCATAATGCACACTCAGCATCACTCTCAGCAGAAGATAATGGACCATCAACTCAAGACAATAAGCAGGAAGTGAAATGGAAAAGCTAGAGCAAACAAAAGAAATAAATGAAGAGAGCTCCAATGAAATTAATGACTTGATAACTAAGACGGAAGGCAAAGGCACCTTAACAATTTTGCATGCTCTTCAGCAGCTTTTGATTCAAAAAAATATTCCTTTGTTTCGGCAAAAAGGTGCTGGGACTTCTCAATGAGTTTTATTCTTGGACCATGAAGTGGAGATCCTTTGCTATCCATTGGATTCTTAGACAATTCCCATGATTCTTTCCATAATAGGAAAGCTACATCCTACAAGATTGAAACTTTGTCATATAAATAAAGTTGAATAGAGGGAAAAGTGGAGAAGCACCATGAACTGTAAAATATTAGCATTTAGCAGCAAATTTTTCATGTCTTGCAAATTAAGCTAAAAACAAAATCTTACAGAAGGACTACAGAGCGATTACGACAGGCTTCCAAAAGTAGGATCAGATTCACATCAACACACAATGTAGTTCTATCCCAGAAGGCAAATTGAAATATTGTTAGTTCCAAAAATATTCTTTTACCAAATTCTATCTACTTACAAATATAAACGGAGGGATAAGAGCGACAATATGTGCTAAAGAACATAAGATGACATGCTTGACATCAAAATTATTTCCTTCTATTTATTAATGAAACAGTACAAGGAAAACTATAATAAGGGAGAAATCCAAAAAAGATCAACAGATAAAAAAACTAATCCTTTCATTTGCACAAAACTTCTAATCGAACAGCAAAACAGTCACATAAACAGGCATTCAATATCACTAGGATGATATTCAATATGGATACAAAATTCTACATTTCTAAGTATAAGTTGGAGTCTCACACAAACCAACCTGAAGTTGTCCAGTAGATAGGAAAAAGTCCTTCAGAAATTCGTGCTTGAAATGCCTTGAGATTGGAAAAAGAAACAAAATTCAGCAGGCTAAACAAACTGCTCTTGAAGTGATTAAGAAATTAAAAGTTTCCATACTGTGCATAATTAACAAACAAATCACGAGCTAGAGGTCTGGCCTGTATTGTCCCGAAGAACTCCAAAGCTGGTCTCTGGAAAGCAAAAGCACGAGGTTATTAATAACGATTGATAACAACTGAACTAACTAGGCATTTTAGAAAAAACAACGTTCAGGTATATATTTCACAAGAAAGTCCACTTGAGACATCTTTATATACCTTCTGCCAGATATGGAAGAGGACAAGATAAACCAGATCAGTATCACCACTTTCAGTAGCCTTCATCAGAGCAGTATCTTCTTCTCCAATGCTTAGCAATAGAGGAACCTAAGGAATAGCATAGTACACCATAAGCTAACTTAAGCTAACCATGTTGTAGAAATCCAATTAACAGATAAAAGCCAGCCAAGAACAAAGAAGTCTTCCTCAGATGACAACTTTTGTAATTGGGGGGGAAGGAAGTACTAGGCTCCACCAGAAGGAAGAGGATATTAGCGGGAACACAAAGAGCATCAAAAAAATTTAAAGAACCTGCTTAGATGAACGTGGCTCATGCTCAACAAGCATGGCAGCTAACTTTCGACGACCATTCTTATCCGCATGAGCAGCAACTGCAGCATAAGAGATCCCCTTGCATATTTTCAGCTGACATACCAAAAATTTACATGAGAGTTTGCACTACAATAATGAATGTTGGACATCTTGTTCAAAACACAAACCTTATCAAGTAACATTTCTAGAAGAGTGGCATCAGGGATTGCCGCCGATGCTGTGATCTTTGTACATGTCCAGTGCATGACTACAACTTCCTATACACAAAGTACAAACAGAATAATATAAACTAACATTTTGAATAAGGAGAACAATATAAGCTAACATGTAAAAGCATCAGGATCAATCTGGATACATCAACTCTTCACCCTTTGACTTTTGGAAGTTAACTTTGAGTCAGTCTTTTTTATTCAAAGCTACAAAGTCTGGGGAAAATGCCTCTTAAAATTCAATAAAATTGAGGGAAGGCAGTGTATTGGGAAAAAACTGAATTTACATTGTAGGTGACGTGGCATGACACGTGGACTGATCAAACGGTCAAAACACAATAAATAGCCAAGAGGCACGGGCGACAACAGATAAGGGAAAAAGAAAGCAATATAGGTGCGGACCATTACTAAAATAGGTACGAGTCTCGTACCTATCCAAGTCATTTAAAGACCAAAGATCGGAAGAAGTTGAAGATACGAATCTGATGACGTAAAAGAGTCTAAATACAGCATTGAATACCAAATACGTTAGAATATTTAATTTAAAAAGAAATGATTGTGTAACGTTTCTTTTAATGTCATTTATTGCTCATAATTGCCTCATTAAGACAAAGGCATTACATCTTCTCCTAGAATTAGCTATAAAAGGAGAAGAACTCACCATCTGTAAGGATACGAAAAACTATTGGAATCTTACTGAAATACAAAACTATTTACTGCTTTACCATCATTCACAAAAATATTTTATTTTCGTCTCCTGATTATTAGTAACCCTAATTTCTTTTTAGCTTTGATCAAAGACTCAAATTTTTGGTTAAACAAATTAGTTCCGTTACCGGGAATCTGATAATCTTTTCTTTTAAGCTATATCTTGTCCATTGTTATCACCATGTCAAACAACAACACCGACAATAACAATAATAACACACTGGGAAACCATGAAAATCAAATTCATCAAAATCAAGGTGACGTGGTTCCCTCCCCTCCAGATTCACCATGTCAATCTCATGAAGGCACTCCTGTTACTGAATCCCGTGTTGATCAACAAGAACAATCTGAACACTTTGAAGGAGGTACAAATGAAGCTTTACAAAAGCTAATTGATGCTCAGGTCGGCAAAGCTCTTCAGGCTCTAGTTAGTCGATTGCATGCTGCACCACCTACACCAACTCCTAATATTAATACATTGGAGAATCCCCGTTCTGGTCTTGTTAATTCTGGAAATGGAGCAACCACCAGTGAACCACAGGAAGGGGGACCAGGTAATTCAAATAATTCATATTTGCAAAATTTAGTACTAATATTGCAGAAACAGATTAAGGAGCAAAATGAGCGTATTGAGCAAATCCCTGGAGTTCCGCCTGTAATAAAAGGAGTAGACATGGACAAATACTCACAACAACCTTGGAAGCCAAGTGCTGCTCCCCTTCCAATTCCGAAAAAGTTCAAAATGCCTGACATCCCGAAATATGATGGTACTACAGACCCTTGTGACCACGTGACTGCATTTACAACAGGCGTGAAAGGCAACGACTTAACCAAACGAGAAATTGAATCAGTAGTGGTCAAGAAATTTGGAGAAACACTCACCAAGGGTGCATTAACCTG